AAATTTACTTTGTGAAAACTGTCTTTATCTTTTTTCACCTAGCCCTATCCGAAGGCTAACCATGTCCAGTGTTGCTGTGGGTTTTTAGTTGTGCTGATGTAAACAAAATGTTTACTCTTCAAAAATCAATAATCTGGAAGTGGAGACGCTATGCATGTTTTCATCCATCCATTTTCTTCCTCCATTGCACGAGAGGTGGGGGTTACACCCCAGACAGGTCGCTTGTCTGCAGGGCTAACAGAGAAGAAACATTCTTGACTCTACTAGAGTATCTTTATATGACGAACAATTCAGAATAATGACTTTATATTTTATACTGGGTCCTTCTGCAGCTTCTGTCTGAAACTTTTTTCTCTGATTGGCTCCTCCTCTTAAACAGAACGCTTGACCAGCAGGTGGGTAGGGCTGCTGCTGTTTAAGGAAATGCTGTGTGTCCAAGATGACCATATTAGGAATATCCAATTTCAGTGACACCCTGTAGAACCAAGCAGTAACAAAACTGACCTAGTTGAAACAGAAACAGCTTTTGACTCTGGGATTACTTATTTAAACAGTGACCTTCTTCTTGTATACTTGCTATGTTTAATTTAAGGTTCTATAAGTGTGACAGTTAAAATACACGAGCAAGGAAAGTAATAATAGGTCCTTTTAATACTTCACCCATTAATAGTCATCAGGGGATGGGTGTGGGGATTTAACTTTGGTTATATGCTACTCTTTGCATTGACAGTACATGAGATACTGCGTTTTCTGTACTTGTCTATTGGAAGCTAATTATATAATAAATTCTCTGTGACAGGACTGACTTTTATTTGGTAGTAATTGTTATATTGCAGAGTCATTGAATTATAGTACAATCTCGTGTGTTATTCCCGGAAATTGGAAACTGCAGCGGCATGCAGTTTTGATCACTCTTAACTCAATATGTGAACAACTGCATCTGGACAATTACCTTAAGAGACTCTTGCAGGGGGATTGACCCTCAGATGGAGAGAGTGGATTTTCAAGGTGGGACATGAAGAATGATATGCTTTTAGGAGTCAAATTATCTAAGGAGTATTTTTCTAACTTCATTTTCCTTTGACCCGTCCTAACCTAACACATTGAACATCAAGAGACAAAATGTCTGTAAACTGTTCTCTCTTTTGCATGAACCTTATCTTAACAATCAGTGGGAGTGCCACAATCTCACTCACTCACACACACACACACACACACACACACAAAACATTCCTTTGTGCAATTGGCTACAGGTAGAGGGCTGATATTTAAACTCAAGTCATCTCACAGTGCCCTGTCTGAACTGGAGAGGCTTGAAAAGCTTGTTCAGGTCTGCAGCCGGTGGCATCTGCTTTAAGGATCCAAATCACACTGCAAAAGGCAAAGAAAATCAGCATTTCTTTAAACTTCATAGCTTGTCTGTTCAGTACACAGAATTTGACAGAATTGTTCTCCACCGCCCTAAAGGGACTGGAGCTCATTTAACTTGGATGCAGGAGAATCGCAGACAAAGAAGCCACTTTCAGTGAAATAACCCAGGATAGCATATCTTTGTTTGTTTTTTTCCCCCTCTGTCTTTCTGAACCTTTTAGCTCAAGTGTTGCCAGCTGCAGTCACTCTCCTACTCTTAGATGTCTTCCTCTTGCAGTGTCTTTTGTCTGAGGTTTTGATGTTATAGCCTTTCATGTCAGAAAGAGACACAGTCTTGTCAGTGTTATTGCATCTTGAACAAAGGATCCTACGCCGACTCTTAAAATTGTGGCAGTTTATTATTATTTTTTAATTAATTAATTTTTTTGAGAATACATGGTCAGACTGTTTTGCACCTATTCACTGCAGGCCACTGTTCAACCTCCAAGAAAAAAACACGATCCTATAATATAGTAGGACATAATGGCCATAGCCTAGCTGCAAGCTAGCGTGTTTCAGCTTATTATTGTCCCCTGAGCCAGCAGGCTGTTAAAAGGCTATATTTTTATACAGCGGATTAACGTAATCCCTGCGATAAAATGACCTAACCATATAGCTGCCCCGCTTTGAGGGTATCTACAGTGTAGACAGCAGTATTATGGCCATATTTCTTTGCATTGGCTATAATTGTCTGTTTGCTATTCTGAGCTGCCACATCACCCTCAAAACCCTGGGAGCCAGGTTTGACTTAGCTGATGCTATGATGGAAATAGAAATCTTTTGCTATAATAGTGAGCCACAGCAGCCGAGGCAGCTTGTCCCTTCTCCTTCCCCAGGGCTCTTTACCCTCTCTAAAATAAAATAGGAAGGGAAGTGCAATTCAGCAATTGCTTCTGTCATCCTCTCCACACCTAATAGAAAGCAAGTGGAGCATATTTCTGTCAAACATTGTCACATAAAATCATGATATTGCCAGCTCCCTTCGAACTATATAAAGCTACACAAAGCAGTATTTTCTGGTAGGCTGTTGAGCTACTGTTTGTCTATTTTGCATTGTACCTATCAGGCTGTTACTGAGCTACTTAATTTTACTTGCTGCTGTATCGATGAATATTTAATGAACACTCAATTTGTTTGGCTGAGTCAAACACCTACTTACGGTAATCTTGCCTGTCTGAGTAGGTACGTTTCTTAAAACTTGAAGAGGGTCTGCGGTGTAATTGCTTATTGTTGAGTAGACCACAAATTATAAAGATGTAGACATAACAATGAAAACACTTTTCTGATATTTACTGCAGCACATAAAATAAATTCCTGTAATTTACCTTGCATCCACTGCTTTGTTTGTAATGAAAAGTCTACAAGACCTATCATTTTGAGACCTTAAAAGGTTTGCAAGGATCAAAGACAAAAAATGAATTAAAGGGAATGTGTTTCCACACGTCATTTTGAATGTTTCAAAGTTTCCAAAACAATATGAAAATTGGCCTCAGAGATTTTTGTATTTGTATTTATAGTTTATACAGCTTTTGTACCATGTGTGCTATATCATAGCGAATAAGCAGTGACCACATGCTTTAGGTGGATGAAGGTCAACTGCAAAGTGCCAAGTCATCTAGATGGATAGTTGAAGTGAATACTGGTGGTCTTGGATCATCAACTTTAGTGCTGCAGCAAACTGGATTTTAGTGGGGGCATTGCCAGCGCCCGAGATTATATTCTCTTCCCATCTGTGGTTCTCTCTTTTCCTACTATCTGTCAGTGCTCTCTTTCACTCTCCAAATATTAATAGGTTCACTTTAGCACTTTGGATTTCTGGGAAGTTTTCATGATGTCACCGTCTCATTCTGAAAGATCTACGAATTGTTTTTTTTAAAATAATTTGATGAAGGCAGACTAGATGAGTGATTTTAATTGTGTTTTTAGCATGAATGCTCAAACTATTCTAATTAACAGACACAAAAAGCCCTTATTTTAGTTTTACTTTCCAGGGTAGTGTTCTGCCACAGAGGGTGGTCTTTGGTTAGAAACACAGCTTTCTGTTTACAGCTTTCTCTTCTCTACATTACTGACAGGCATGACTCACAGCTGATTTGCTCTATTCATGAGAATCTTTCATTTGCATCCCCATTGATTCTGGCAGTTGAGTCAGGTCCTCTGACTCAGACCAGTGCCCGTTGATTCCACCTTCTGTGTGATAAAACAAACCTCTGGTTGTAGATGTTGCTTAGGAGATCTTCAGAGGGAACGTTTCACCTGCCCACTCACTTAGTAAGCTTCATTTGAGGAAGAAAAGGGGGATAAAGCCCCTTATCCTAAGGCTGTTGCTCTTTGGCGCAGTACACACCACAGTTAAAAAGCAACCCAAATACTTATGTTTCTGCACCAGCTGCTCTGCATGCTCACCCCCTTCAAGTATTTTGTGCCTGTGACCTGGCTGACCTCATGTTCCCACAGTAGCCCCCGTAGGCATGGCTATTCACAGCAACTCAGAGTAGAAAAACCTGGCAGTGTAACCTGAAGGTTCTGGACATTTAAAACAATACCGCTCTTACAGTTACATGCTTTTCAGGATACTCTGCCTGAAGTCACTGTGAAGGCATGACACTGTGCCAAAACCTGGGTTTGAAACAAAACAGTTCAGTATGTTCAAGGCATGCAATATCCTAAGACACCTTTGTTATAAAATTGGTTTTATTGCTGCCTTATCAACTCCTATTATGTGCTCATATTACAGATTGGGGGCATATTCCATTACGAGCCTTAAGCTTCTTAGCACTTATCTTTTTATGAATGTATGATACTCGTACACTGACTTTTGATGTTTGTGTTTCCTGTCAGCGATTATATAGGTTTTGGAATATCACAGACATTTCAGATGCATATTTTTTTTTAAATCATCTGTGAAGGCTTTTGTTTGACTCAGCCCTTCTTACTTGAATTGTTTTGACAATTGCTGCCTGTTATAGCTATAAAGATGAGTAATATCCCATATAAGTATTGATTTTTAGAGTTTATTTTAAAAGGTTGTAGGTGACTGTCTGCATTTGGATCCTTGCTGATAGACAGCTCAATTTTCTGCTCAGTGTCAGTGTGTTTATTTTCTGCAGTAGCTGGAGGCATACAAATTCCAATTTATTACAAACTGCTTCATTGAGATTGCCCATTTCTCTGTAGATTGATATAAACCAGCCTTGAGCAGCTGTCAGTCACACACTTGCATAAGAACCTAGCAGTTTGCTCATTCAGAGTGCTTGACGGGGTTTTTTAGTGTGTTTACATTGGGATGGAGGGATCTCTCACAGTGGTGACAGCACTAGTTAGTGAGTGAAATGGAATTTCAAGATCTGGCCTCTGGTTTTTCTGTTGACACAGAGGTATGAGGCCTGGGAAGCAGATCTGCTATCAGTGAAGCTCACATATTATACAGTCTATACAAACAATGAACCAAGAGGAAATTGGACACCAATTCCAGAGAACTTTTATGTTTACCTTACTTCTACTAACTCTAACAGGATCCTCTTGCTTATGATCTTAATTAGCTCTATCTAATCTACCGGGTTATCTGCTTCTCTTGCCCGCTGTTCCAGATGTTCCTGACTGTATACCTCAGTAACAATGACCAGCATTTTACTGAGGTTCCTGTTACTCCGGAGACGCTGTGCCGGGATGTGGTGGACTTGTGCAAAGAGCCGGGGGAAACGGACTGCCACCTATCTGAGATGTGGCGTGGATCTGGTGAGTGACAGTGCTCTTTTGTTTGTGGAGTATCTGAAGGAACAGGAGTCGGTGTGTGGACACATTAGTTTTTATTTTATTTAGACAAAAAGTGCTTTTTCTCACGTTGACCACTTGTGGTTTGTGATTAGCTTTGTGGTCATCTGCTTGGCAGTTTTTAAAGTGTTTGTCTCTTTTGAGTCTACCATGTAAATAGCGTAGAGCCCCAATCTCTGCATCAAACACAAGCGCCTAAACATTTCTTACATCTCTCAGATGGGAGGTGAGGAGTGACGTTGAGATTTCATGCCTGCCTCATTTTCACCGTTTCTAAGAGTCAAGGAGTATACAACATCAGAACTCAAGGAGCCAGGCTTCATAGCCGTTTCCATGGTGATACTGGCATAATAGTGAAAAAGTGCCAATTATTGTGTTTGAGTACTTCCAGGAGTGGTCTGAAAGGAGATTGATGAATACTGAAGAGATTGTCTCATTTTGCACCCATTCACCTCAGACCACTTTTGAATCTCCTTGAAAACACAGCAGTGACATTTTGCATCCAAATTAGATGTAAAGTTATAAATTATATTTAGAATATTTTACGTACCTGCTTCATTTTGCATTTCTACCATTATTAAAAGATCAGTTTCACTCACCTCTACTTAAGCATAATGTGTCAGCTCATCTGTGTAATGAAATGCTCAAAGAAAATGTCTGAAGAACAGCTGATGAGCTCAGTGCCAAGAGGCATAATTGACAGCGCGTTATAGTTGTTTCCCCTGAAGTTATTGCTTAGATAGATCAACGGCATGCAAACTGTGTTGACAAAATGAATCATCCTTCAATTTGGGTTAGACTGGATTCACTGAGTAAATGGCATGTGCAAACTTGACATACATTTGTGTTTTGCCCAATCAAAGTGAAATATTATGAAAACTTTTCAATATTTATTTGTGGGCTAAAATGTTTTATTTCGACTTGCAGAGAGACCTGTAGGTGATGGGGAGAGGATGCTGGATGTGCTCCAACGATGGGGACAGCACAGATCAGAAGTGCGCTTCTTTCTGCGTCACAACAGAGCTCCTAGCAGGGAATCAGGTAAGCAACTGTTTGCAATACACAACAGATAGTGAAAAGAAGCTTTAATGTCTGATACTTCACACACACAAGAGTTATGATTGGGTGAGCACTGTCTCCAGAGGTGCCTGCTGTCTTTATAACGCACTATTCACTCAATAAACACTATGGCATTTTTCAAACGTTTATCCAGAAGAGGGCTTTATATTTGGAGCCCTCAGATCCTTCATCCTTGCTGGAATCAGAGTGTCAGAGTCCCACTATCAGAAGTCTGTTACTTTTCAATTTTCTTATTAACACAGAAAAGTCTAGTATTTTTTTCATAGACTATCCTCTCAACCCCGAGTTGCATAACTAAGCCCTTTTTACCTCTCACAGCTTGAGTCTGGCCCAGGGATTAGGTGGCTGTTTTCCCTTTGTGTTATCTTAGCCCGCTGTTGTTTTCCCACACTAAGAGCTTAGCTCTGATCATTATTTGCAACACAGCTCTGTATTAAATTTTTCAGTTACTGCATTTTTATGCAGGTTTATTTGGTCCTGTTGCCGTGTTTACATTAGTTACGGCAGTACGGATGTACTCTGTCCTGCCCTCAGGTTGCAGTTAGTTAAATGTTTATACTTCCCCGATACTGTTCGAGCACGTTCTTTTTCACATGTCGGAGGATAAAATGGAATGTCACCAATCTATTGGACTGCCAGTACATTTGAACTTCTTTTCATTAATCTAATGTTATGCCTGCGTCATGTCTGAGTAAGCAGCCACACTAATTATACTTTTTATAGACCTTTACTTTCAGCATAGCATGAATATGAAATGCAATCATTAACAAACAGGCACAGACAAAATTCTCAAGTTACTGGGCAAAAAAAACCACGATTAGTTTGAAGACTGCCCTAAACATGAATAATCTTACTTTTCTACTATACTATTTTACTATAACACACAGACTCGGTAGTTAGTGACAAAGAACTAAACCTTTGGAAAGAAGGCTGAAAGAACTAAACCTTCAAAAGAGTTGTCACGCTTCACCAAATTCAGTGCCAGTGTGACAATAGTCAATGACACATAGGCAACAAAATGCCCCAGAAAATCATGGGTGTACTTCTGCTCTGTCATTGACTTGATATATCTAAATGAAGTGAGGAAAATTAATGGAAAATTAATCACTGTGTGAATGTCTGAATGCTGTGACTATAACAGTTTGCGTCACTCTTGAGCTTAGCGGTGTCTTACATTCCCATCAGCGATTAACCAGCATCTATTAAACCAGTTATTTAGCTTCTGGAGCAGCAGCCCATGAGGCTTTGATCTATGGGCTTGCATGAAGCTCTAATCGTGGTTGGTCAATCCTCTTTAAACCACATAAAGCTTCCTGTACTAACAATACTGAATGTTAAAAATTCTTCACATTTTTTTACAGACATCTGTTTATAGCGATTAGTTTGTATCTAGCATGCATACTGTATGCTAGCAGTTAAACTATATAGTAAAGCTATTATGGGCTTTCATCATGGGATAATACTTTAGGGACCCAGATTGTCAGACGTGCATGCCAAATGCCAGTAAAACGGTTGGCTATATGGTTATATCTTCCTAGACAAGCATATATACATGCAGTAGTGTACCCACCCCACTAATAAGTCAATATTGATGAGGTTGAATCCCAAGAGATTTTTTACAAGTTACAAAAAGCACTGAGGTAAAGAAGTTAAAATAATTCAGTACTAGCCTGTCATTTTTTCAGCTAGTATACACCCTCCTCTATAGCATGTCAAAACAAACCTATAAGTCTAAATGTGTATGATTGTTTGTCAGAGACACTGAAGGGCAAAAGGACAACAGGAAGTTCCAGCCATTTTTTTTTCTTGTTGATCTTTCATTTCTTTTAAGGTGCTCTAAATTTTAATGTCTGACGAAATCTCCACTTATTTTCATTACTTAGGAGGATCAAGAGGCTCAGATTCAAAGAGAAATGGAGTGAAGGGTCCCCCAGAGAGAAGGATGGAGAATGGGGTGAGTTATTAACTTTTTTTCTGACAAGTGGTTGAAATGGTTTACACTATTTTACATTCATTCACTTTGAATGGTAGCTGATGTGAATAATTAGAAACATGTCAATTTGGAACAATGTCTATTTTTTTTATTATTATTTTATTTTACTAATAAGGGTCATGCATTTAGTATCGGCATAAAATCTTCACCCAAAATGTAATTTCTTTATACTTGACGAGTTGTAGTTAATTGTGTGCTCTGGGATACTGATTAGTTCCTTTCAGTTCTCACACCCT